TAGGGCTTTAACAGACTACTCGAGTAATCGACACATCGATTCCTAGGACATCTATCGAGTCTTTTAAATTTCACGTCGAGTATTCGTGGTGACATCATTACGTCGCTGTTACATCATTGCGTCACGTGTCACGTGATCCGCACCGGGCGCGGGTTTCAAAATGAATTCCTCCAAGCAGATGGATGGAGCGGAGCACGGGGGCCTTTCTGGGTTGAGTTTGCATGTTCTCTCTGTGCATTTGTGGGTTTTCTCTGGGTACTCCAGTTTCCTCCCACAGACCAAAAACATGCATGTTAGACTGATTGGTGACTCTAAATTGTCCCTGAGAGTGAATGGTTGTTTGTCTCGTTTGTCTCCATGTGGCCCTGTGATGGACGTGTGACCTGTCCAGGGTGTACCCCGCCCCGCCTGTTTGTTTGTTGTTGTTGTTGTTGTCTCAGTTTTTCTTCCTTCTGTTTTTTCCTGACCGGTCCAGTCCAAACTGTGATGTCATTTCTGTGGGTGCATTGTTGTTAAAAACACAACAGAAGTGGAAAGAGCAAAGCTGGCAGCTGAGAGACAGAGACAGGAGGTCTGAGTGTTTTCTTAGCTTTTTTCCAGCAGAAAGAAGCAGATCGAGTCCTGCCTGCTCCAATAATGTCCAAATCTCTCTCTCTCTCTCTCTCTCTCTCTCTCTCTCTCTCTCTCTGTGTGTGATATTTATACTCACATGTTTAATGAAGAGCTGAGCCAGCCTTTCTGGCTCTGCCAAACACTTCTCCAGCTCTTCCAGGAAGTAGCTGCAATATGGAAAACACACACACACACACACAACGAGTCAGACATACACGGACACAAACACAAGCGTCTCGTAAAAACAAGTTCAGATTAGTGAACTTTTGTTCTGTCGTCCTCTCAGACTTTAACACATCTGCAAATCACAGTTTTTGTTTCTTTTATTTGAGACTCACTCTTTATGCCAGTCAAATATTTGATGAATGTTGCCAAACACTATCTTGTCCTTCCCCTTCATGTCCTCCGGTATTCCTTTTGAACTCATTGTGGCCATGTAGCCCTGCAGGGGAAAGAAATAGGTGCTGACGTCTGCATGCTCATTAAACAACCAAAAGTATTCTCCAACGCCACACAGCTGAGCTGCTAGGCACCGAATCGTGGCAATCTCCCTTCACATATTAAAGGAGTTTTATTAACTTTCAGATGGCAAGAGTTTTTCTCTAAACCAAAATATCTGCAGCTATTTAAAGCAGCAGGAGATGGATGTCTCTGTAATGTAATACTCTTAGGGCTTATTATTCATAAAATCTGCTTAAGGAGTGGAGACGGTGGGATGGAAGCAGACCAAAGTGTGGAGCGAAGTGAGGGGATTGTGATGATTAGGATTTGGAGAACTCTTTGATAAAGTGGGTGGATGAATGTTTGTGCAGATTGTGAGCTTTACCTCCACTATGAGCCCCAGGTCTTCCACGTAGTACTTCTCAGTCTCTATAAGCTCCTTCAGCACGTACCTGGAAAGACGATATTGAGGCTACTAGATCTTCTTACATAAAAACATAAAACGTTTCAGTACTTTTGAAAGTGGAACAGGGTTAGAATTCATAAAGGCTTTTAAGGAAACAGTGAAAATAGTGTGGTGTGTGTGTTAAAGGGAAAACACTGCTATTTGAATAAATCTAATTACCAGTACATTCCCATAATCTGCAAAGGGTTTGAAGTCCGGAAACAGCTGATCAGCTGTTGTCCATGTTTTTTATTGCTTTCACTTGGCTCTTACATAACAAGTTTCAAATGTCACCACAAGAGTTGAGCTAAAGAAATCATCCATGTGACGGCGGCTGAGGGCTGTGAGACTGGCAGGGTCAAGGCACTGGAAATAGTTGGCTATTTTCCGTGGTTTGATATTGTTAGGCCTCAGTTTTGGTGTCAGTTATGATCTTTTATCTGTCTGTGTGTGCATGAACATGGACTCACTATCTGTTTAATTTCTTATAAAAAAAAAAAAGTTAAATTTGATCAGTTCCCCCTATTGATTTGATATTTATTCAAAGGTTAATGGTAAATTATGTTCAGGTTTCTTTTGTTTCTAACAGTGTTGGGCCAAAAAAGAAGCACCCATATAAAAAGAAATTGAATAAATCTGAGAGTTTAGTGCAACAGCGCTGTGCTTCACTGTTAATCTCTTTATTTTGCTCAGGCTCGACAATGCAGATTATTTAAAAAGAGGCAAAAATGAACCGGCTCATCAATCTATAGATGAATTAGGCCAATTATTCAGCACTTGTCCTGATCTAAATTATGATCCACAATCATATCTACAACTTAATATTTCAATCTAGCTTAGTTTTTTAAATGATACTTCATCTGTAATAGGAAGAAAAGCAAATGTATTCACGTTATCAATTACAGACGTGGAATGATTTGAAAGAATGAATCCCCCACTGCCGTACATGCCTGAGCTGTAGATCAAAAATCATCTTATGTTGAGAAATGGTGGAGTTGTATCTGTTTGACGAAACATTGAAAATAATGTTAAGTGCAGTCTTGTTTAATATTGTGAGATGTGCTCAGAGTATGTGTTGTGAATGACTTTCAGCTACTACCCCATGACATTTTAGCTAATTATTTGTAAAACTCACAGAGTTATGACCATTTTAATGTTGGCAAATGCTGATTAGATATGGCGGCCATATTGAATCAGGTTGAATCAGTTGTACATGTCTAACACAAACTTGTAGAAAGATGAATAAGTTATGTTAGGCGCCCCACTACAAAACTCAAAAACTGAGTCAGCTGCACTGAAATCTGCCATTACTTAATTCTGTTTAGTGCTAAATAATGATTTGTGTGAATACAGTGTCTAAATTACTTTGTCTATGGGGTGCCATTTTTAAAGTTACACAGTCAAAAATTAACAGCAATATTTTGGTTTATTTAGCCTTTCATTAAAAAAAAGAAATTGTTTTTATAAGTCATATTTTCACCATGTTATTCATAAATTTGTAGATGTCATAGTTCCAAAATAAATATTTAATTTACAAGCTAAATATTTAGTTTACAAACTAAATACTTAACTTGCACTAAATATTTAGTTTACAAACTAAATGTTTATGTCCAAGCAAAATTTTTAATTTGCAAACTAAATATTTAACTTGTAAGTTAAATTGTAACTTGTAAGTTCAATATTTAGTTAGGAAATTAAATATTTATTTTGGAAATTAAATGTTTACTTTGGAAAATAAATATTTAGGTTTGAGCTAAACAGTTAGCAAATTAAATATTTATTTTGGAAATTAAATATTTAGGTCTGAGCTAAACATTTAGTTAGCAAATTAAATTTACACCTAAATATTTAATTTCCTAACTAAATATGTAACGTGCAAGTTAAATATTTAGTTTGTAAATTAAACATTTATCTTGGACATACACATTTAGTGTATAAACTAAATATTTATTGTAGAACTAAATATTTAGCTTGCTAACTAAATATTTAATTTGCAAGTTAAGTATTTAGCTTGTAAACTAAATATTTAGCTTGTAAATTAAATATTTAGTTTGAAACTATGACATTTAAAAATGTATGAAAATATGACTGAAAAAAAAAGTTTCATATGCAAGGCTAAATAAAACAAAACATCGCTATTAATTTTTGACTGTGTAACTTTACAAACGGCACCCCATACTTTGTGTAAGATAATTCTATTCATTTTATTTATATAGTGCCAAATCACAACATAAGTCATCTCAGGGCACTGAACAAAAACATTCACATACATACAAAAGTCAATTAGAAAAAGTTATATATCTTAGGAAGGAAGATAATGATCATATTCTGCTTTGATGTATTGTAAGCAATGTTAACATTATGAAAAAATCATAAAGATTCATCATGGATTACCAGAGCGGTACAGATGAGCCTGGATAATGGCACAGATTTGCAGAGATGACGCTGCTGTCATGTAGCTATCATAATGTCTCTGATGATCCCTTGGACTTATTTTTAGGTGCCATCATCTAACCAAGCCCCCGGTTATATGTTCTCATAAGTGCCAGCTAATAGCAAAAAGCCTTTGTAGATAAATCAGCCCTGAGTGACGTTTGGCAGCTGCACTCCAGCATAATGCTGTTTGTGCTGGGAATGAATGAGTGAATTACTGCAATGGGAATTGTCATCATGTCTGAATGTTTAATAAAACGCATACATGCTTTTCTCTAAGGCACTTTTCCTCTCCTCTTCAGTGTCCGCCACAGCCGACCACTGGCTGGAGGTGTCATCCATCAAGACGGACGCGCTGTCATCGGGCAAAACACTGGTGGACTGAGTGTCCTGAAAAGACAGAGACGACAACATGGATGGAAAGACAGAGAAACTGTTTACCAATGGCCTTGTGCCAGGAGTAAAGTAAAGAAAGGGAGATAAAGCGGAGAGCAATGGCAATGAGGGTTGCCAAGGTGACAAAGAGAGCACAGATGGGTATGAGGAAGACTGTCAGATTGCTGCTGTTAATGACCCAGACTGTGCCACACATTGGAGAACTAAAAGAATCAACAAGCAACAAACTGTAACGGGAAGAGGAATACAACCACGACACACCAGGTACAGCAGTGACACCTGTTTTGTGATCTCAAACAAAGTAATTATCATTTTTTTACGGACTATAAGTCACACTTTTTTTTCATAGTTTGGCCAGTCCTGTGACTTGAAGCAACTTATTTACTTTTTTTTCCTTTTCATGACTCAATTTTTGACTGGCGCATTAAATGTTCATTCATAGTAGCTATGTTTACATGTGCAAAATTCTTTGACCAGATTGAAATGTTTTCATATTAAATCATTCAAATGTATCGTTTACATGGGCACAATTCGTTCAAGACGAATGTTTACATGCAGCGGGTTTTTATTTTGAACAGAAGTACTGACATGCGCAGAGTGGTAAACTCTCCTTAAAAAAAGAAACAGAAGAAGAAGTTCTACTTCTGGTTTACTTCCGGGATGAACATAAACAAACCTGAGCACCCAAAATGGACCCACGACAGGTTTTAATGACGGTGGACACGTTACTGCACTCCCTGACTGAGCTACAGGTAATGCAGGTCATTTTGAGCTCTTTCAAAGTTTCTACTAGAAATGTTGTGTCGCTCACAGACCAGTTTGCTTCCCCGACATGCTAATATTATTAGCATTAGCTATGCAGAAATGACAGGTCGCACATGCACAGTCAGGTCAGTTTTTCATGATCGGAAAAAAATGAACAGATTAAGTGTTTACATGCACATCGTTCAGATTATGAATCTGCATAAACCACCCGTTTTGTTCTGATCATTAATTATTTCAAAACGCGCTGAATAAACAAAAAAAACAACAAGAACGGGGCGTTTACATGACACATTTTTATTCCGAATGGCCGTTTAACCCGATTACTTATGTCTATGTAAACATGGCTACTGACATGAACCAGAGTTAACATTACCATTTGCAGCCATGAGAGGGTCCTCTACACTTTTGACAACTGTATGTTGTTCCTCTACCACTACCCCACCCCAAATATTCACTTAATAGACAACTGAGAAAAAACTTAACACAAGTAAAATGCCCCCAAAAGGTGGAGTTGTTCAGAAGTGACACCTAGGATGAAGAATTCAATGGATTCAGTAATCTGGAATGAGACTGGTGGATTTACTGGTAACTTGCTTGTTGGACTCGTTGGCTTGTTATGTTAATTAAGCCTGTTCAGGATCCCAGGTATGTTCTGTGCACTATTGTTATTTCAGATTATATGTCTTCTCTTGCGCTTTGTGAAATACACTTCTAAATAAATGTGACTTATACTCCAAAGTACTTAGTAGTTACTGTTTTTTCCTCATCATGAGGCATTTTTTGACTGATGCAACCTACACTCCGGAGCGACTTATAGTCTGGAAAATACGGTAAACAGATTCATCCCTCAGCTCCATCTATGTCAGCATCTCAACATCCGGGTTGAAAAAGCCACGTTTAGAGCTACCTGTTCAGTTGTTTTCTTTTACTGCATACACAACTTCCTTTTTGGGCTTCTTCCTGGAATTGATCCAATTTCCTGTGTAATATTAGGAGTTACTGGGAAAACGTAGTTATCGTCCACGGAGCAATGAAGCATGCAAAGAGTAAAATCAAGACAAACTCGGTGGATACCCACAATCCTTATAATCAGGTTACAAAGAATTTCTCCTAAAATACGCAGACTTCACTTCACTATGTGGGTATAAAATATCTCAAAACAACACCTCCATGGAAACACGGTGGATCACCTCTCGACTGCATAAACACTTTGAAGGCAGGCGTTCTGTCGTTTCATGAAACCCTGAGTCCCCTTGTCCTACACAGGCATGTCCTCCCCTTAAACACACACACAAACCTGCAAACAACAGACATACACCTAATCCCTCTGACTCCTTGAGCAGACCGTTGCCTTACAGACAAAGAAAATAGATGACTGGGTAGAAAACAGAAAGAAGGAGAGCAGTTTCTCCTCTTCTGTTCCTAGCTGGTTCAGCTTGTTCTTCTGTCATCTCCTTGATAAGCTCGTTGGCATCCACAAGTATTGAACTTTCTGTTCTGTTGCTGTCAGTGAGAGACAGAGCAAAGAAGAGGGACGGCTGAGTACAAAGAGACAGAGAGGCTCCACACAGGCCCCCTGCTCCCCCAGCTCGTCTTGCCCTGCTAGGAGCTCTTCAGCCTGGCTGACAGGTCTCCCTGGCTGCCTGATCATTTCCAGATGTGCTGTGGCAAAGCCCAAAGGAAAATAAATCCCTGCTTCACTCCGCTAGAGTTTTGCTTCTATTTACCCAAAAGAACAAACATGACAACAAAAACTGGTTTTGTATATTGTAAAAAAAATAAAAATAAAACTATTCAAACAATTCAGTTTACTTTTAATCAGATGTACTGTATGAGAAAGTAGGGGGTCAAAAGCTGACTTGGATTAATATTTCAGATGGATCTTTAATGTTAAAGTGATAGTTGCAATCTTTTTAAAATGGGAATTTGTGGAAGGTATTAATTAATTTATTACATTTGTTTAAAAGTCCTTGGTTTGGAAATATACAAGTTATTTCTTTCCAAGATGGACACGCTCAACTGAGTCGCAGCTTCACAGACTCCCGGTGAACTCAATATATTTTTGTTCCTGTTGTTTTTGTTTTAACCTTTTTTGTGCCTACAATGCACATCCACAGTACTTGTATGACCACGACACACATGTGGAGTTTTCTGTGTCACTGCCTTGCCATTGAGCCATCCTGCCATCCCTCCATCCTGCCATCGTGGTTCAGTTCTTCCAGCCTCTGGCACAGGGTTGTCATCATGGCGACTGTCTCCATGATCCTCCATCTGTCTGCACGGACGGTACTCTACGGACCCGTTTGGTTCCGCGAGGAAGCCTGGATCTTCTCCCTCTGCCGTACCCGGTTCTGGAGGGCTGTCTGGGAGGGCAGCTGCTGCGGTCATTGTTACCATTGAGATGCTGACGGGACCTGTTAACTAGACCTACTAACCTGCTAATGCTGCTAACAAGATCCTCCGTCTGCCTGATCGGACCGAACTCTGCAGACCCGCTTGGTTCCGCGGGGGAAACTTAGATGTTCTCTGTCTGCTGGACCCGGTTCTGGAGGGCAGTCTAGGAGGTTTCTGCTGTCCTTATTATCATAATGCTGCTGACGACCTGCTAACAAGACCTGCTAATGCTGCTAACAACACCACGCCGCTAACCGAACCACGCTGCTAACAGTCCCATAGTGCCAACGGCACCATGTTGCTAAAAAATACTAGAATAACAGAAACCTCACTGCTAACCAAACCTCAATGCTAACAGTATCATGCTGCTAAATGGACCATATTGATAATATAATCTCACTGCCATCAGAACCACTCTGCCAATAGGACCATGCTGCTGTAGATTTATTTATTTTTTCACTTTTGGCGCCTTGTTTCTTTATTTTTATTGCAAGCTTTGAATAAATCCTAGTTTATGTTAGTTTAGTTTATGTTAGTGCTCGCATTAAGCGTGTAAATTATAGCCGAACAGAACCTATGAGAACCGTGCTGCTGTTGTTCGGTGTATTGTTTTGCATCATTAGTGACTGGCATATATCTTAGATATTTTAGCGTACCGTTTGGCATTCGTTTAGCATATAACTTAGTTTATATCACAGATCTTTATTTAGTGTTTCTTTTTACATGTGATGCGAATGACAAATAAAGAAACTGACTCTCTGACCAAGACTGACAAGCTGGTTTAAGTGAGGCCAAGAACATTTATCCCATTATCTTTTACCAGCTTCTTCCTTTCTGGGTCACGGTGGTTACTGATGCCCATATCCAGCTATCACTGTGCGAGAAGCTGGGAACACCCTGGATGGATCTTCAATCCATCACAGGGCCACATAAAGACAAACAAGACAAAAAACCATTCACTCTCTCACTCACACCTAGGGACAATTTAGAGTTACCAATCAGCCTTACCATATGTACCATATGTTTGTGGTCTGTGGAAGGAAACTGGAGTACCTGGAGAAAACCCACGCATGCACAGAGAAAACATACAAACTCCACCCTGAAATGTCCTGGGCCGGGATTTTAACTGGCAACCTTCTTGCTGAGAGGCAACATCTCTACCAACTCTCCATCGTGCTGCCAAGTACATGTCATCCTAAATCAACTCCAACTTCCAATTTGTCATCACAGTTCATGCAAACACAACTTTATAAACATTTACACTGTTGTCAGTGTTGGTTTATGGTTAGATTATAGTTATTTACATAGAAGTCTGGAGTTATTTCCAAATGCAAATAGCAGCAGCAGCTAGCTGTAGCACTTCTGGTGCAGCCTGAGGCACTTTCACAGGACTATCATGATTTTGCTGGGATAACCATTCAATGTTAGACAGTGGTGTAAAGCTTTAGGAAAAAAGTGTAGACAAGAACTGTTAATATTGTTGTATGTGTTGGTTTGACAACAGCAATCCACTTTAGTTTTGATTAGCTCAGACTAGTCATCAGCTCATCCATCTGGTCACAACTCTTTGTCCCTAAATTGAGGATGTCCAAAGACTTATTTAAAACAGGCCCATTTTAAATTGTTCATAACATTCCCAAAGAACTCCACTTCAAAAGATCTGAACTGTCACTTTGATGTTGGAGATTTTATATTTTTAATATCTATGTATTTTTATTTGCAACCTTGTGTGTAAACATTGTGTAAAATGTAAATACAAATAGAATACAGATTTATACCATATTTAAGAATGGAATTAGCTTGTATGACCAAATTCCCAAATATTATTGTTAAAGGTAATGTATGTATGTAATGGAATATTATTTATTAGCATTAGTCACCTGTGATGCTGTCTCACTAGCAGAGGCTTATTCCGGGTTCCTAGCTGCAGTGTGGGATCCTCTGTACTCTTGTGCATGAAGGACAGCATTTTTAAGTTCAAAGTTTTTGTCTATCCTTTCTGCCGTTACTACCTGCCTGAAGACCACCACTTTTTGCCTAGAGCTGCTGCCTCTCAGCGAGCAGGTCCCCGGCTCAAATCCCGGTCCAGGGGCCTTTCTGGGAGGAGTTTGCATGGGATTTAGTATCGTTTAGGTTATAAATTCTGTGTGCAGAAAAGTTTTTACTTATTTAGGCAAAACAATGCCATACCACATTCTGTAAAGTCGGTCAACCTGGTTTATTTATAAGAGACCCAAGTTCTTTGCAGTCCAAGTCATAAAACAAAACAAAACTGTGTGTTGTGAAATGATAAAATACAAAACATCAATAAACATGCAGATTTTTTTTCCAATTGAACCCAAAGGGTTGGTTTAAAAACAAAAAGGTGACGCAACACTGCAGCAAACACACAAATCAAAGCTGTGCTTCAGCTGAGGGCAAACACACTTACATGACATCCCAAGAAATTAAAATTCCTCTGGATAGCTCAGAAGAGCTTTATTCTTTAACAACTTCTCTTTATGCTGAAAATATTTTGCCAGTGTGTCAATATGACCCTCTGACAAAATGTTTCAAAAATATTAGAAAACATTTGCCTTTGACACCACGCTTTATTCAATTCTGACAATCGGCAAAAGTCTAATGTTTAAATTCACGGTGCATCCTTACAAATTTAATAATAGCGCATGTAAGACAAAACCTTTAAGGGTAAATAAGTGAATGAAATAAGAAGCCTGCATGATTCAATAGCTCCACCTGTCCTCTTTGGTCTAATTTTCCCTCTGCCTTCACAGATGAGCAGTAAAAACACCAAAGTGCTGACCTCATCCCACTGATGTAATCACACTAATGCCTTTTGATGCGCTGCTGAAAGTGAAATTACATCTTAAGTGCTCAGGTGTTGAGTCACAAACAGGAGATGCTCTCTAATGCTCCAACATCATTGTTGTCTGATACTGATGGGCTTCAGGCACAGCTCATTCATGCTGTATTAACGTGCTGCAAGCGGACCTCAGTTTCTGGCAAGCCTTCACTTACAGAAAAATAAAAAGACCTCATCAAGGTCAAGGTTTCTTTATGGTCATTCGCACCACATGTGGTACATGTGGTGGAACAGAACTGTGTACACATGGTCCCAGTTACGTCCAACAAAAGTATACATTGTAAAGAAAAACAGTAGTAAGATGATCTTACTAGTTTTTATGAACTAAAAAATATGCTAAACTAAGAATATGTTAAACTCTTAATAGTGCAAAAATAATACGCCACACAACAACAGCACAGACATGAGTCTGTGTGAGCAGATAAGTACGAATGAACACAGCAGCATGAAATTAATCAGCAGCATGGATAATCAGCAGCACATATCATTAATCACATGGCATTACAGTGATTTTTTTCACAGTGATGATCCTGGTTAGAGATTCATGAGTCTAACAGCCTCAGAGTAAAAGCTGTTCCTCAGTCTAGTGGTTCTACACTTAATGCTCCTCAACCTCCTGCCTGAAGGAAGCGGGGCAAAAAGTGAGTGTGCTGGGTGAGTGGGGTCCTTCATGATGCAGGTGACTCTCTTCCTGCATGTAGAGGTGTAGATGATCTGTGATTGTGGGGAGGCTGACTCCAACAGACTTCTGTGAAACCTTCACCACTTTCTGCAAAGCTTTTCTTTCTGCAGCTGTGCAGCCTCCATGCCACACATTGATGTTGGAGCACAGGATGCTCTCCACTGCACACCTGTAGAAGGAGGTGAGGACTGAGATTCCCAGACCAGCTCGTCTCGGCCGCCTGAGGAAGTAGAGTTTCTGATGAGCTTTCTTGCTCAGGCTGGTAGTGTTGTTGCCCCAGCTGAGGATGTCATTCAGGTGTACACCCAAGTACTTGTAGCTGGAGAGCACTTCCACCGCAGATCCTCCTATATTTGTGTGGGTAGGTGTGTTTTTTCCTTCTGAAGGCCACAACCATCTCCTTCATCTTCTTCACATTGATGTGAAAGTTGTTCTTTCTGCACCAGCTCTCCAGATGTTCCACCTGCTGCCTGTAGCTGGACTCGTCATTGTTTGTGATGCATCCAATCACCGCTGTATCATCTGCAAACTTTACAATATGACAGCCTGGATGGGTCGGTACGCAGTCATACATGAGCAGAGTGAATATGAGGGGGCTCAACACACAGCCCTGTAGGGAGCCAGTGCTGAGGGTTATTGTGGAGGAGGAGAAGTTGTGGATCCTCACAGACTGCAGTCTGTTTGTTAAGAAGTCTAGGACCCAGTTGCAAATGAAGGGGCTTAGTCCTAGTGTGAGTAGTTTGTCCATCAGGGTTTGGGGGATCATAGAATTGAAGGCAGATGTGAAGTCCACAAAGAGCATACAGACGTAGGAGTCCTTCTGCTCCAGATGGGTGAGAGCAGTGCGGACCACAGAAGAGATGGTGTCCTCTGTTGATCGATTCTTGTGGTATGCGTACGGGTGAGGGTCCTCACTGATGTTGATGGTTGTTTTGATGTGGGTCATGACCAGTCTCTTGAAGCATTTAGCGACAATCGGGGTGAGGGCTACTGGCCGGTAGTCATTCGGACCAGTCACTGTCGAGTTCTTTGGGACTGGGATGATGGTGGTGGTCTTCAGGCAGGTAGTAACTGTTGCCAGGGCGAGGGAGGAGTTAAAGATGATCAAAATGAACAGCTCAACCTGAGGTACTCCTTTTCCTCAAGCAAAATTTGATGAAGAAATGGAAACTTAAGTTTTGTCTCTGTGCTTTTTTTTTTAATCTCATCTGTTGTTTCATGCTCTTTCCCTTCTCATTTGTCTACCGACATGTCCTTTAAATGTGAGACAAACATCATGCAGGTTGCTGTCAAATGCTGCCTGTCTTCTGTGCATCAGTCTGCCTCGAGAGAATTTTGGATTTGCTAAACCTACTGTACATACACGTGTATGTATGTATGTGTATGTGTGAGTGTTTTTATGGGTTGATTGTGCTCCTAGTGGTGTGTATGTGTTGTATACTTGATGTAACAAATCAACCAGCTACACTTTATAAAGAGCAGAACACACAAAATACAGATCTTAACATACAAACCAAAACTGCTACTTTTTTTAGAAAGTGTCTGAAGTAAATATCTGTTACAAAGTACTGGATTTTGTTCACAAAGTTTGAATCACATCATGCATAGCAATACAGTTGTTTCCATCACTTTAAATTACTATATGTAATCAAAGGAATAGCTTAAACTTTTTGAAGTGAAGTTCTTGGAATATGGTGAAAACATTTTATCTCTTACTGTTACATTACTGTTAAAAGCTCTTTGAGTGATCTCAGTTTGGTGAAACAGAAATTAAAATTGATGTGAATCAGAAGCTAACTGCTAGTTTAAGTGACATGGATTAGGTAAAGTGGATCATTTAGGTCTTAAATCAACTTTAGTTTTTGAAAAAATCAGAACAATTCATGTAAAAACCTTTACACCGCTGTCAATTTTACAAAAATCAATTTTTCCAGAAAAAAAATACAGCAAAAATGTTACTCCTGCTGGATGTGCCCCAAGCTGTATCAAGCGTGTTAAAGCTAGCTGCTGCTGCTGTTTGACAAACTAATTGATGATGGTTTGAAAATTTAGGTTTGTAAAATAGAATTTACATCAACCACTTTAATTTTCTTGTGAGCTATTTTAAGACGGCAGTAATCTTGACCCCTACTGGCGTAGCCTTGTCAATCTGATCTAGATTACTGGTAAACTTTATTTCTATTGCTGTTAAAGTGCTATATCTACAACAGATAAAATCTGAATTGTTCATGAACCTTCTACAGAAGCACATTTCAAAAAAGCTTTGAACAATCCCTTTAAGTTAGTAGCAGGATCACATTTATGTTATTTTGACACAAATAATGTGCAATAAAAAGATTCAGTGGGTTAGGAGGGAGTTTTATGGTGCTGTGTGACTGCAGACCTGAGTATTTGGCAGTGATGTGAAACCAGCCAGTGAGGACGTCATAAAACTTGGTGGCTGTAGTGAGGCTGGTGACAGGTCCTCCGGGCTTGCCAGGCCATCTTTCCACTCCTGCAACACAAACGCACGTCCACAGTGTAAACATAACTGCACCAGTCGTAATGTTTGCAGCATGCTTATGCATTCATGCACAGAAAAAAATAACAGTTAAAAGAAAAGTGAGCAGCAAAACAATGTGAAGTGAGAGAAGCTGAGCCAGCAGCGTTTCTGACACGATATTTCAAAAGTCAAACTTTCATCTCCGCTGTTATTCTTGAGTAAACAAGCCATGGCTGTTGGCTGCAGTTACTGTTTATATAAGACAGTAATTAGGAATGTTTACCTCAGAACCAGATCTTACCACGAGATGATCAGAGCGTAATTTAGATCTCTAAGTTTACTTAAGAGGTGGTTCATCGCAGAATGTGTAAAACAAAATTTGCACGCTGAATCTAGCATTAAGTCTGGTTTTACTACTTTTTGTGATGGTAGGAAAAAAACATCACTGCTATTTTGACTCAAGTTTTTTTTACCGGTTCTCTGTGGGTTACAGGTAGAACGGTGAGGGTCTCGTCAGGCCTTGGGGGGCTGCCAAGCTCCTGGCTCAGGCTGTGGGATGGCAGAGGAGGAGGCTTCCCCTCAAGCTTCCGGACCTGACGGTCTCCTTTGGCAGATGATCCAGCACTGAGTTTGCGGACTGGGTTTGTGAGCCATTTTTTCAGGGTGCTGACCGAATGTCTGGAGCCCGGTGAACTGGGGGCCGAGCTGCCTGATGGCTGCGGGGGCAGCGACGCCACAGAGGTGGAAATGCTGCCCTCGCTGCCTGCTGCCGAGTACGAGTCTAGAGAGAAGATCCAGAGAAAGAGAAATCAATGTGACCAGAGATAATAATTAACTGCTTCACAGGGCAGAGAGAACTGTGCATCAAGACTTCAGGAAATCAATAAATTAGACAAAAAGTGTAAAAACAGGTTTCAGCGTGAGGCAAGATAACTTCTGTCTGATAATTGTAAATGGTAAAAAATGGAGCTTACTTCTATAGCGCCTTCCAGCCCCCTATGAGGGGCCCCAAGGCGCTTTACAGTACCAGCCATCCACCCATTCACACGCACATTCATACACCGGTGGCGGTAGGCTGCCATGCAAGGCGCCATCCAGTCCCACCGGGAGCAACTCGGGGTTAAGTGTCTTGCCCAGGGACACAACGGCACATGGTGTGGGAAGTCGGGATTCGAACCTCCAACCTTCCGATCAGAGGTCGGCTGCCACTACCACTGCACCACGGCCGCCCACATAATTGTATGAGCAAAGAGGACTATGATAGATCATGAAGAAATAAAGGCATAAATAGCTGATCAGAGTAAAATGAACACAATTTCCTGTTGAAACACAGCTCTGCAGACACATCATAAAAGTTTTACTGTTTAGTTGAAGCAGATGGTTTTTATTATCATTATTACTACTACCGGTATATGAGTGGCTGCACGTGGGTGTGTCATTAACACACAATCACACGTCAACACACAGAACATCAAGTTGGTTGACACTTGGTATGAAAAGTACTCCAGAGCTTTAGTATATTTCTGCACATGGGAAGTGAACCGAGGGTTAGCTCAGGCCGGACATCCGCTTTAATCCTTTGTACGGGTGGGAGTGGGAGTGGGAGGGGTCCCTGCTGGGGTCTGTTTGTTTTTTCAGCATTGTCTTCAGTTCCCATCCTGCCTCGTCCTCCTTGAACTAAAGTAATCTCCCCTTATTTTCTCAGTCTACACCTCTAAAATGCACGTCTGGAGAATTTTACCTGATCAGCCTCCATATTGTCATGTCTGCCATCCAACATTACGTCTCAAACTTTTGACCTTAAAGTACCACTCAGCTTATAGCGAAAGGATATTTCACTGTTTTTCTTTTACAGTCATCACTTACTGTATTATTGTTCTAATGCAGCAGACATTTCACCTGTTTTCAGCAGCACAGAAATTATGGCAATGTTAATAGACCATGTTTTGTTTTTTGAATGTACAGTAGTCCCTCGATATTTCGCGGTTCCACTTTTGCTGACTCAGTCTTTTGCGGGTTTTCAATGTAAAATTGTACACATTGTTTCCCGGTGGCCTGGCCCTCTCAGTGATTGCTGAGAGGCAATCCTTTCTCTTTCTGAGGCTGTCTGTCACAGCAGAACAGAGAAACGCAACAAGTGCTCTGCTGTGACAGACAGCCTCAGAAAGAGAAAGGAGGGGAGGGGTGGGGTCTGTCTTTCCCCATTGCTGCTATGGGAGCTTCAGTGAGGTGGATACCAGAGTGAGCGGTACGGATTGTTTATTTAAAATAATCAGGCACAACCTGAACCAAGCCTTAATCCGAACCAAGCCAACCCGACCCGAACCGAGCTCGGTTCTCCTGATGACCAGTCCGCCCCCGGGCGCTGATTGGCTCAGTAACTGTAGCATCAGTCTGTCTGCTCTCTTTCACTTCTTTTTTAGAACATTTAGAGAGTTTAGAACATTAAGAACATTGCAAGAGTGTGGGAAGGGTTTATAAAGCCTTTATATATATATATATAAATACTAAAACAAATATAACGTACCTACTTCGTGGATTTTCACCTATCGCAGGGTTGTCTGAAACATAATCCCTGTGATAAGTGAGGGACTACTGTACATGTAAAAAAAAAAAGTTTAATAAATGAATGTCTTTCATTAATTTTCTACAAAATTTGTGAATTTTGTGAACACGTTTATAACACAATAATGCAGAGTTCGTTACAAAATCCACGGAGTGAGATCTTACCACAGCTTTCAGGAGTCAGATCCAAATGGCAAAGAAAACCTGCCCCATTTTGTAAGCCAGAAAACTTTTCAATTCTTTTTTACGATTTAAAACAGTTTCATTCAATTTATTTTTCTGAAAAATGCAATTATAGTCTCTGTGATTAAAATAAGCTCCTGTCTCCATTGTATGTCACTAAACTCTCACGTGTCAGTGCACAAACATTCAAATTAACTATCGGTAGTGTCTTTTCATAACAGAGGCAGTATCGTGTGCATGCTCCTGGGGGGTCCAGTTGCCCATTATAAGACTGGTGAATGTAAGATCTGAGCAAAGCAATATGACAAAGCTGAGCACATAGAAAACACAAGAAACACTGATATATCAGTGGAAAATAACACAACTAAAACCATTGTAGTAAAAGCAAAATGTGAAAAAATAAATCATCTATGAAGGTCACTAAGAATGGTGAAGTAAAGATGTGAACATGATGGTGAGCACAAGATATTTTTAATCTTTCTACTCCATCTTCTATGATCCCAAGGAAGGGCCAGACAAAAATGCTTTGTTTATGTTGCCTAATGTATTTTTCCATTTGTGTTTTCCAGAGTTCCCCACTTAGGTCATATGTGCACCCATGCAAACACAGGCATGTGTGTATACATATATGCATATACGTGTGTGTGTGTGTATGTGTGTATGACCTAAGTGGGGAACCCTGGGAAACACAAATGCTGGCTTCCTTCCTTCCTTCCTTCCTTTCTTAGATTGATAACTTTCCTAATTGGCATTTATAATGTTTGTGAATGTTTTCGTTCAGTGCCCGAGATAACTTCTACACATATATATGTGTATATATACCGTATAAACTCCCTCCAGAGCTCATGAGAAGAGTAGAAAGGAAGACTGACACCATCTCAGCAGGCAGGAAGGAATTCAAACCACTTAATGAGAATCTCTGCATCACAATGATGCAGCAGCAGTGTCAAGTGTACAGATTTATGATTCACACAGTTTTCATCGTTTACAGTACAGGCTTTTTAATGAAGATCCTTTGATATGTCACCATGGCAACACTACATGATCATTGTGCATGCATTGTGGGTCAGCAATTCCTTTTGACCCTGTGAAGTTGAATCCCTGTATTCGCTGTACATCCACAAGAAATCATTTACAGAGGATTTTTTTTTTCATCTTAACAGAAGAATTTGATATGAAGGCAGATATGTATCACCTTCAGAAAAACACACCTCCAGTCTCCCCACGTGTTGCAGGATGTATAACATTAATATTGTTGTACACCTCCAAAGAGGAAATTGAGGAAAGCATCCCTCTCACTTTGTCCCTGCTGCACGCTGATAGTGCATCATGATATTCATCTCCATTACAGACATGCCGAGAAAAGATACCCTGGTTGATTTTTATTAATTCAGCTTGACTGTTGTTTAGGCGCTTATGATAATTAACAGTTAAAGACTAAAAACTGTACTAAGATGGCCTGATCTGTACTGATTTGTTACTCCTGGGCTTTCACCAATCGTCTACTCGCCGTCTGAAAGCTTCAGCTCCTGCTGGGGGGGAGGCTCTTACAAAAAGGGCTGCAGGATGTAGCTTCAGTGCCAAAAAGAGTATCTGCCGAAAAGTAGCTCCAGATTTTCTCTTGATGTTGTTAACTCAACTGAAATCTGACTCGTCATCGGGGTATTGCAAAAGAGTCTAATTATCTTGCTGTATTTGAATTTCTGCTGTATAATTTAATTTGTCCTTAAATCTTTTCTTATGAGTTGCATGACTCACTTTTTTCTAATCATTTTAAGGATTCTAGGTGGAGTTTGCATGTTCTCTCCGTGCATCCGTGCGTCCTGTTTGTGAATGACAGAGTGAATGGTTGTTTGTCTGTATGTGACACTGCAGTGGACTTGTGACTTGTCCAGGGTGTGCGCCCCGCCTTTTGCACCGTGACAGCTAGACATAGACACCAGCGACCCTCATGACCCGGAAAGGAAGATGCAGGCAAAAATAATGAAAGGATGGGTGGAAATCTAAAATAAACTGAGTAATTTGCTCATACATGATGTCTGTAGGCAGTGAGTGCTTGAAACCAACGTAAAAATGCTCGTCCATGCACACAAACTTGGCCAATAAAGATGATTCTGATCCTGATGAGTCTTTTTCTGGGGATATTATGTCATTACGGATAAGAAATATTGAGATTAGAGGCGAGATCTGTTGCATTTTTGGTGATTGTTGCATGAAAAAAACAAAAAAGTGTGTTCCATTGAAGTGTTTCAGAACGGATTGTGACAAATTTTATGAAGAGTAGAAAAAAATCAACGAGCTCCACACCAATAATACATTTACAGTGAACTTTTCAAAACAACGTTAATTACAGCTTCAGGGAAAAACGAAAAGGGAGAACTTATCTGCATTTTTTTAAATTACCATTATTGTGATTATCATTATTGAAACAAAAGAACAAAATGTCAGGACAAAAAAATTAAATTAGGGAGGATTATGTGGATGCTTAAACTGATGATCCACCAGAAGATCTCTTTTATCGAACGGCTGCTGAGTGAGTGCTGCTGAGCCGACAAATCAGGGCTAAAAGTGTTGGCTGTAATGGAGCAAACTTTTCCACAGCCCCCTTCGATGTGGAGCTCTTCATTAGGCCTGCAGCCTCTCAGGACCAACCATTACTGGACTCCACCAGTAAACACAAACAGACATGCAGGTGCCCGTAAACTTGCACATATTTTCAAATTGCACAATTTTCCACAGCCCCCATGGGAACAACTCGACCACAGACAGTGTTACCTGTGAGGAAAGCTTTCATTGTGACCTGAGTCAACAACATGCAGAAGTTTAGAGGCAGGAATCCTGCCGGTCATTGCAACATGTCAGATGTCCTATGTGTAAAGGAGCAGCTGCTGTGTCAACTCCTCACAGATTGCAGCTATGTCAGAAAAATATGTCTTCCTGTGTCATTTCCAAAAACAACACCCGCCACGCTTACCCTCTCTTTGATCGGTCATTCAGTGGCACTTGAATTAAAAGTGCTGCTTCTTCTGCTGC